ACCACGCCAAGCCAGTAGCAAATAGTCTGGAATCATTTCAGAACAACGCATTGCAGCGAATGGGCCTGGGCTTTGGTGGCATTCAAGCAACATCCGTTCTTTATCTCTCTGTGCTAGCCTCAGGAGAGTGATATCATTCATGGTCACCTGGTTGAAATACGGGAAATTTGTTTAAGGGGACATTCAGAGGTGCCCGTTCCTGCTGGGCTGTTTGCCTTTGGCTGAAAAGAAATCATCCCCGCTGTTAGTCACGTGGTGGGGGGAGGCCCATTCATGCTGAGCTGTTCCCGTTTGGCTGACCGGGATCTTCCCTGATACTAGCCACGTGGGGTGTGTGTGTGTGTGTGTGTGTGTGGTGAAGCGATGATCCCAGAGAATTGGGGGGGGGGAGGGGATGGTTGGGTTGTGCTGCACATTCACCCTAAAACCGCAGCCCCTCCTTTTAAATGGCCAACCCAACGGGCTTTGCTTGGTATGGGAAAGGAGGGCACTGCTGTTTGAAGAAGCCGAAACCCTTTGCCTTACCATGGCTGCCTGCAAGCCGAATTCTGTTGCCCAGCCGAGCGTGTGATGTCTCACACCAAATCGGCAGGCACTCAATATAAGAGGCAAAATGTGACCTTGTACCAAAAGCACATGTGCTATGTAATGTGAATCGCTTGATTCAGTGTGAAATAATCTTCGCTTTTTTCCTCCCGCAACTGCAAATGTTTCTACGCTCCCCCTATCATCTCTGTCCCAGAGGCTAGCGCAGATTAGAAGGCAAAAAAACTGCACTTGTGATGACATGTTCCCAGAGCTCGTGCAGTCCTCCCGCACTGAAAGAGCTCAGCAGAATGTGTGGAGGCAAACAATGGCAGAGTCTAGGAAGGCGTTAAATGAACACAATGAGAGGAGGCAGGATGCAATGTTGAGGCTAATGGGGGGAGCAAACTGACATGCTCAGGCATCTGGTGGAGCTGCAGGAAGGTAGCAGGAGCACAGACCGCCACTGCAGCCCCCTGTATAACCACCTGCCCTCCTCCCCAAGTTCCATATCCTCCTCACCCAGACGCCCAAGAACGTGGGGGAGGGGGGGAGGAGGGCTATGGGCACCCAGCCACTCCACCCCAGAGGATTGCCCAAGCAACAGAAGGCTGGCATTCAATAAGTTTTGAACTGTAGTGTGGCCTTGTCCTTCCCTCCTCCCCTCATCCAGCACCCCACCAGATACTTCCCTCCTCACCCACCCCTCTCGGGCTACCTTGCAAGTTTTCCCCCTATTTGTGTGATGAATTAATAAAGAATGCATGATTTTGAAACAATAATGACTTTATTGCCTCTGAAAGCGGTGATGAAAGGGGGAAGGTCAGCTGGCTTACAGGGGAGTAGAGTCAACCAACGGGGCGGGTTTTCATCAAGGAGAAACAAAGAGAACTGTCACACCGTAGCCTGGCCAGTCATTAAACTGGTTTTCAAAACTTCTCTGATGCACAGGGCGCCCAGCTGTGCTCTTCTAACCGCCTGGTGTCTGGCTGTGCGTAATCGGCCGCCAGGCGATATGCCACCCCACCATAAACGTCTTCCCCTTACTCTCACAGATATTGTGGAGTACACAGTAAGCAGCAATAACAATGGGAATATTGGTTTAATTGAGGTCTAACCTAGTCAGTAAACTGCGCCAGCGAGCTTTTAAACGTCCAAATGCACATTCTACCACCATTCTGCACTTGCTCGGCCTATAGTTGAACTGCTCCTTACTACTGTCCAGGGTGCTTGTGTATGGCTTCATGAGCCATGGCATTAAGGAGTAGGCTGGGTCCCCGAGGATAACTATAGGCATTTCAATATCCCCAATGGTAATTTTCTGGTCTGGGAAGTAAGTTCCTTCCTGCAGCTGTTCAAACAGACCAGAGTTCCTGAAGATGCGAGCATCGTCCCACGTTGATGTCGGTGAAACGCCCCTTGTGATCCACCAGTGCTTGCAGCACCATTGAAAAGTACCAGTTGCAATTTACGTACTGGCTGCCAAGGTGATCTGGTTCCAAGATAGGGATATGTGTTCCGTCTATCGCCCCACCACAATTAGGGAACCCCATTGCAGCAAAGCCATCCACTATGACCTGCACATTTCCCAGAGTCACTACCCTTGATAGCAGCAGCTCAGTGATTGCATTGGCTACTTGAATCAGCAGCCCCCACAGTAGATTTACCCACTCCAAATTGATTCCTGACTGCCCGGTAACTGTCTCGTGTTGCAAGCTTCCAGAGGGCTATCGCCACTTGCTTCTCAACTGTGAGGGCTGCTCTCATCTTGGTATTCTTGCGCTTCAGGGCAGGGGAAAGCAAGTCACAAAGTTCCATGAAAGTTCCCTTACGCACGCGCAAGTTTTGCAGCCACTGGGAATCATCCCAGACCCGCAACACTATGCGGTCCCACCAGTCTGTGCTTGTTTCCTGGGCCCAGAATTGGCATTCCACGGCAGGAACCTGCCCCATTACCACCATGATGTCCAAATTGCCAGGGCCCGTGCTTTGAGAGAAGTCTGTGTCCATGTCCTCATCACTATTTTGATCGTGCTATCGTTGCCTCCTTGCCTGCTTTTGCAGGTTCTGCACATACTGCAGGATAATGCACGAGGTGTTAACAGCAGCGGTGAGTAGAGTTGCAGCGGAAGTGGTGGATGACGATGGATGCCACGAGAATAGATCTTTATACAGCTCGACAAGAGGACCTGCGAGGTGGATTCATGGCACCAGGAGAGCAGAGTTGCAGCGGAAGTGGTGGAGGATGACTGTTAGCACCGCGCACATTTCCCGAGGAAGAACACGTGTACTAGGAAGCCCATGACAGACAACATGGAGAAATTTGCTATTGAGACGAGCAGCAGAGCAGAGTTGCAGCGGAAGCGGTGTATGACGATGATTACCGCAGCACCCAAGACACAACAGTGGCGGTGTCAGAGAGCTGAGCTAAGCGGGCTGCACGCTTGCCGTGGTATGGCGTCTGCACGGAAAAAAGGCGCGAAACAATTGTCTGACGTTGCTTTCATGGAGGGAGGGGCGAATGACGACATGTACCCAAAACCACCTGCAACAATGTTTTTGTCCCATCAGGCATTGGGAGCTTAACCCAGAACTCCATTGGGAGGCGGAGACTGCGGGAACTGTGGGATAGCTACCCACAGTGCACTGCTCTGTAAGTCGATGCTAGCCACAGTAGTGAGGACGCTCTCCGACTAAATGCGCGTGGGGTGGACATACGCAATCGACTGTATAAAATCTATTTCTAAAAGTCGGCTTCTATAAAATCGACCTAATTTCATAGTGTAGACATACCCTAAATTATCAATTAAAAAATCTGGGATCTGCTGTGAATTCATCCAGCATTTAGAGATATTTCTTCGTACAGATCCTGTTAGATGTAATGTTGGATTGCTGATAGAATGTGTGCAGAAATCCTGCTGAATTCCTTTATCTGCTGAACTTCTCTTGAAATCTCAGTTTCTATCTGTTATAGCCCAATGCAACATAGTCTCTGCTGGATTATCTGTTTTTACATTAGGAATAGTTTGCCTGTATAGCTATACTGGCCAATCTGCCCAGTGGGGGCGCAGCTTGTACTGGCAAAAGCACTCTTGCAACTTTATTTCTTTGTACTACCATAGCGACTAGGAGCCTAAATATGAACCAGGACCCTGTTGTGCTAGGTGCTGTACAAACAGAACAAAGAGAAGGTCCCTGCCCCCCCCCCCCGAGCTTCCAATCTAAGTAGCAGTTCAGCGGGTGAAATATGCGATGCCGTCAAAAGCACTTGTGTGCTGGTATAACTGGAGCTATGCTAGGGGTTTAGCTGGTGTAGGTGTCCTTAAACTCAAAAAGAGTCCTCCCAACTGACCTGGCAAAAGTTTCTAGCACAGCCCCAACTATGCAACCTCCAAATGATTTCAAAATAAATTCCAAAACAATAGGCTTGGCATTCACTGGCTCCCCCCGCCGAGTGGGGTGGAGTAACTGTGGTGCAGTATTGCTGACCCCAAGCAGTCGAAACCTGAGATTTAAAACAATAATAAATGCTGTAGTTTTTATCTGCCTTCTGACTCTGGAGCTGTTAGAGGTCACATTATCCAGCTTTCATCTGCAAGCGTGAGAGCTAGAAACTTCGTTAAATAAAGAGAGCTGAGATTTTCATGCAGTGGGTAACTCTAGAAGCCAGGACTGTAGAGACACCCAAGAAGGTGAGACTTGCCAGAAAGAAGCAAGAGCCGGAGATGTGGGTGGGTGCAGTGCCGGGGTGGGGTGGGGTTTGTTGGTTTTGGTTTTGTATTTTTTTAAGCAACATAAAACATTTTAATTTTTTCTCTAACTAGAAGTGTCCTGTTTCAGTTCAGTTTCTAGATGTAGAACTCTCCTGTACTCTGGGATGTTTTTCTCTCTCTCTCTTTAATAAAAAAAAAAAAAAAAAAGCGCTCCATTTAAAATAATTTTAAGAAGTTATTTGCATCACTGTATCAAGGTACTTTGTATACAGATAAGTCGCATCTAATTTTGGTTGCAAGAGCACTTAAGCTCTCTGACCCACTGGCTCCAGTGTCTGCCTCAAGCAGGATCTCCAAGGGCTTTTCTAAATACCTGAGTTGTAGCACTACAATGGATCCCAGTCTAGATTCAGTTTTATACTGGTATCAGCACCTTTCCACTGCCTGTAAACTGATGTAATAAGCTATATGGATATAAGGTACCTTTTTATACTGGTATAACCACATCCACACTATGGGTTGTATTAGTATAAGTAGATTCATTGCACCGCTAATTGGTATAGTTATAGCAGTACAAAAAACATGTACAGGCCAGGCCTTGGGGTTTGATCCTGCAGAAACTTATGCGTGACCTCCGTAAATAGCTTTGATGGAACTAGTTGCATGAGTAAAGCTGTACATGTCTTTTTAGGGTCGGGCCTTTGCTGGTCAGCATTTGATCTTATTGGTGAGTCCATGCCGTTGCTGCTGAAGGGAAAGTACCAAGTATCCTGCTTATTCTCTGTTCCAAGACAGATGCCTCAGGTTGTGCCCCATCACAACAACACAAGTTAAAAATCGGTCTACTTTTCGTGCAGCTTTCTGCATCTCTCTGACTGGCTGTTGGTAACTTTTATGGATGAGGTCTGTGTTGGTATAAAAATCTTTTCCTGTAACAGCACAGCTTTTATTACTCTGCTGGATCCTGGGGTTAAGTCATCCTCACAATCATGTATTGACAGTGTAGTCCAGGGGCGGGCAAACTTTTTGGTCTGAGGGCCGCATCGGGTTTCAGAAATTGTATGGAGGGCTGGTTAGTCGTGGCCCGGCCCTCACCTCCTATCTGCCCACCCCCGGGACTCCTGCCCCATCCACACACCTCCCTGTCCCCTGACTGCCCCCGGACACCTGCCGCCCCATCCCACCCCTCCTCTCATTCCTGATGGCCCCCTGGGACCGATGGCCCCCCGGGACCCCTGCCCTATCCAACCCCCTATTCCCCCCGACCCCTACCCACACCCCTGCCCCCTGACCACCACCCTGAACTTCCCTGCCCTCTATTCACCCCTCCCCCCGCTCTGTGCCCCCTTACCGCACTGCCTGGAGCACCAGTGGCTGGTGGCACTACAGCCGGGCCATGCTGCCGCTGCCACCACGCAGCACAGGGTCAGGCCGGGCTGCGCTGCCCCAGGAACTCACAGCCCCGCCGCCCAGAGCATTGCGCCGGCGGCGGAGCGAGCTGAGGCTGCGGGGGATGGGGGACAGCAAGGGAGGGGCCGGGGGCTAGCATCCCGGGCCAGGAGCTCAGGGACCAGGCAGGACGGTCCTGCGGGCTGGATGTGGCCTGCGGGCTGTAGTTTGCCCATCCCTGGTGTAGTCTGTTGCCATAGAAATCCTTGTGGTGACAAATGTAGCGGTATTCTACTGAAACAGAAGAGCAGTGGGAGCCTCCGGGGCGCAATCTAAAGGGCTCTCCAGCTTGGATTGGTACACCTTTTCAAAGGAGATGTGAAAGGCCATCCAATCAGAATGCAGAGGAGTTTAAAGGAGATGCTCTGTTATGCAGGTATAAATTACTGCAGAAGATGCTAGTGCAAGGGAGAATTTGTAAATAAACTTCTGACAAATGATTAGCAAAATGGTAAGGAATACTAGTTCCAACACCTGAAAGGTAAACACGTGTTGGATTTTTTACTCTGGTGAAATATTTCTCTTCAGGGGATGAATTATTTAAGTAACTGCCAGCAGAAAGCTGTGGGGACACACAGACTTGATAGGTGCAGAACTCCAGACGGGATGTGGGAGGCGACTCCTACGGCACAACTTCTGTTATGAACTCTGCTTACTAGATTGTCAGGCTTACATAGCAGTGAAGGGGGGAGACTTGTACAGCTTTCAAATGCCGGTGTAAGATATTCAGAGACTAGCCTCTACTCTAAATATACACAGCTATGTGTGTAAATGGACTCCGTTGACTTCAGTAGGATTTAAGCATGTGTTTAATTGCTTTGTTGGATTAGAGCCTGAGTGTAAGACATGCACCTAACATTGACACACATGCATTACCATTAACGTACTGGGTCTGGCTGAGTCGACACAATATACCTTTTCACGATGTCTTTCAAGGTTGTCCTCAGCTCTCTATGCTTGCTTCCTGAGGAACAGTGAGTCAAGATCTCAGTCCTTCTCTTCACGGCGGGCCAGGCTGGCCCGGAGTGTCTAAGCGATCTCCTGAAGCTGTGGGATAAGGACTGTGAATAATAATTCTGCTCCACTAGCACCAAGGGTTCTTCAGACAAAAAGGGTGAAGCTTATCTGTGCCGGGGAAACCAGGGCCAACGCCGAACCACTCCACCTTCCTTGCTAAGTGCACATTTGAAAAATGAGATCAAAATCCTACCAGAGCAAGATCCCTGCTGAGAGGATGAGGGAGAGAATGAACCACATGTGACGGGCGTTAGTTGTGTCACTTAATGCATGATGGGAAGGCGCTCAGGTGCTACCTTGAGGAGGGTTGTTGGAGAATCTGCATAGACTAGATTGCCTTCTTTATTGGAACTCCACAGAATAAGAAACTCAGGCAAAAAATATTTTAAATGCGTGGGGTTTCTTGTCAACTTCAAGCATATTTTAGATGTTGCTTTAGCTCTGCCTGTCTTTATTCAGAAAAGACTGATTCTGGGATTTAGGCCCTGACTTGGCATGGCCAGTGCCTAACTTGAAGCACATGAATAGTTCCACTGAATTCTGTGGGATCATAACTAGCTGCTCCAAGTTGAGAGCAGCCGATGAGCCTGTTTGTGCCCCTATTGATGTGAACCTGAGAAGGACCGAGGCTAAACAGTGAAATCTTGGGGCTTGTTGACATGGGGAGCTAAGCTGAATTAACAAGAGGTGTGAATTCACAGCGCGTTTGTTCCAGCGCTTTAAACCCCTGCGTGGAGATGCTGCTGCAGAAGTAAAGCAGCCGCAGTTCAGTTTAGCCGAGTTCACTATAAGCTAAAGGCAGCTAAAGCCACTTCACTCCAGAAATGAGGGCATCCCCATGGTTCTAATGAGCTTTGATGCAATGTGAATTCACACCTTTAGTTAGTTTGGCTTCACTCCCCTTGGAGTCCTCCCTTTAGAAGCAAGCTTGGCTCTGTTTGTTCATTTAAATCTCATTTTTTATCAGATATCCTGGCCTGTGAGAAGACTTAGGCCTTGGTTACACTTGCAGATGTACAGCGCTGAGTTAAACCTGACTTCGTGCAGCTGAGTAGGGAAAGCACTGCAGTCTGTCCACACTGACAGCTGCCCAGCGCACTGTCGTGGCCACATTTGCAGCAATTGCAGTGCTATTGGGAGCGGTGCATTATGGGCAGCTATCCCACAGAGTACCTTTTCCCATTCTGGCGCCATGGGTTGTGGGAAGGGGGCATGGGTGCGGGGGATTCTGGGTCCTGTCCCAATGCCCCATGATGCATCGTTTCGCATCCCAGAAATCCCTTTGTTTCCGTCCACCTTTGGCGCCATCTTTCAACGGTTTCTGTGCAGCGCGATCTGTCTGCGGGAAATGGAGTCCGAACTGCTGAGGCGTATGCTGACGAGTCTTGCCAGCACGTCACGTTTGGCTGTCGAACTATTCCTTAAGATCCAAAGTGACAGCGAGAGTGAGGGTGAGGAGTCCGACGATGCTATCGAACCGGGTAACGCGTGCGACACGAAATTGCTTGTGGCATTCACGGACATGCTCAGCACCGTGGAACGCCGCTTTTGGGCTCGGGGAAACAAGCACCGAGTGGTGGGATCACATCGTCATGGAAGTCTGGGATGACGAGCAGTGGCTGCAGAACTTTCGGATGAGAAAAGCCACTTTCATGGGACTGTGTGAGGAGCTTGCCCCCACCCTGCGGTGCAAGGACACGAGATTGAGAGCTGCCTTGCCAGTGGAGAAGCGGGTGGCTATTACAATCTGGAAGCTGGCAACTCCAGACAGCTACCGGTCGGTCACAAACCAGTTTGGAGTGGGAAAGTCGACCGTTGGAATCGTGTTGATGCAAGTTTGCAAGGCCATTAATCGCATCCTACTCAGAAGAACCGTGACTCTGGGTAACGTGCAGGAAATAGTGGATGGCCTTGCACAAATGGGGTTCCCTAACTGTGGAGGGGCGATAGATGGGACGCACATTCCTATTCTGGCACCACCCCACCTAGGATCCGAGCCGCTGCGACTGGCTACCTTCCTCCTGGCTCGAGAAGAGCTCCTGGCTGCATGGCTCCAGGGATTCCGGGGTGTCTCCATCCGGCCCACCACCATCACTCCCGTTTTCCTCCTCCTCCTCCTCCTCCTCTTCCTCCTCCTGCTCCTCCTCCTCCCCCCCCCCCACTCCACCGGCTCTGAAGTGTCCATGGTGGTGCTCGGAGTGGAGGTGGGGTTAACCCCAAGTATCGCATCCAGCTCTTTGTAGAATCGGCAGGTCGCGGTGGGAGCACCCGAGCGGCCATCTGCATCGCAGGCTTTGTGGTAGGCACTCCGCAGCTCCTTCACTTTAATCCTGCACTGCAGGGCGTCCCGGTCATGGCCCCTTTCCATCATGTCCTTTTGATACCTTCCCGAAGGTATCGTAATTCCTACGGCTGGAGCGCAGCTGGGACTGGACAGCTTCCTCCCCCCCAAACACTGATGAGGTCCAGGAACTCACCATTGCTCCATGCTGGGGCTCGCTTGGCGCATAGAGGCATGGTCACCTGGAAAGATTCACTGATAGCACGCCACGCCACGTCGGGCTGAGCAAACAGGAAGGGGATTTTTAAAATTCCCGGGGAATGTAAAGGGTGGGTCACATGGTTGGTTACCTGAGGCCAGGGCAGTAGAGTTTGAACTGATGACCAGAGTGGCTAGAACAGGCATTGTGGGATACTGCCGAATAATTCTGGAGGCCATTCACAGCGCATTGGGCGGCCACACTGGCGCCGCAGCGCTGCAGCGGCAGCGCAATACTTGCTATTCCTCTCGGAGAGGTGGAGTTCATGCAGTGCTGCAAATGCCTTGCCAGTGTGGACGGGGAGTGAGTTACAGCGCTGGGGGAGCCTTTACAGTGCTGTAACTCGCAAGAGTAGCCAAGGCCTTAGAAGCCCTTACATTGCTTCCAGGGTCTTGTCAGGTTTGCTAAAGAAACTATGCATGTTTGTTTTTGACAGTGTACTGCTGTTACTGCTAGGTAAGTACTGCAGGAGAAACCGCATGGGTAAAGGCTTGTGTGCACTTGGAAACTTCCTGACCTAGCTATTCTGGAATAACTCCCTGTGTGCAAGATTTTAAGATAGACAAGCCCTTAGTCAACCAGGAGCAGATTGACGCTAAACCAAAATAAACCTCACTTAAACTGAAATCGGATTGCCGCTCAGCCTTTTGCATTTGTTGACTACATCTGTCTAAAATTACAACTTAAACTGAACCAATGCATCTTTCTGGAGACAAGCTTTTGGGATTAGCCCCTAAGGTTAGAATTGGAGAGCTCCTCAAGCAGTGCCTAAGGCCAGGGGGAAGGAATGAAACCCAG